CTTCACCACCAGGCCAGCCTCGCGCGCCTCCCGCTCGACCATCTCGCACAGGTCGCCCTCGCGCCTGGGCCCAGAGCAGAAGTGCAGGAAGAGCTTCTCGCGAGATGCCCACCCTGCTGGCGCCAGCGGGATCACCTCCTGGCGGGGCAGCGGCTGAGGCGGCTTGCGCCTGCCGCCACGCGCCTGGCGTGACCCGTGCCAGCTGCTGGGCTCGTCGGCGGGGTTCTTGCCTGTCGAGATCCAGAAGTGGAAGTGCGAGAACCCGCCCGCGAGCTCGATAGCCGCCCCACGGCGGCAGCGCCGGTTGAGCCTGCGGCTGGCACTGCGTCCCTTGATGAAGGCGCCCTCGCACGGGGCGTTGTCTCCAGCATGCAGTACTCGCTTCCCCAGCTCAGAGGGCCGATGCAGACGGGCCTCCATGCCCCAGAGCTTCGCGTGCGCCTCCTCAAGCGTGATGTGCTCATAGCCGCCTGGCCTGCCCACCTTGAACCAGTGGCCCACTGGCGGCAGCGTGACGCGGGCCAGGCTGCAGCGCCCCTCGACGTCCACGTCAACCCCGAAGCCGTCACCGAGCATGGTGTAGGGCGCCCGATGGTCAGCCCACCTGGCGATGTGCTGCACCGACTCCAGCGGCAGCGTCGCCCAGGCGCGGCCATGCCCTCCTGGCGCGGCATCAGTGCACTCCACGCGCGGGCACCAGTCCGCATCCAGGTCCTGCTCTGCGAACGGCAGCAGGATAGCCGACATCAGCACCTCATGCCGCGCCAACGGGCACCACGCCACGGGCTTGCGCCCCTGCAAGGGTAGGCGCTCCAGCCAAGAATAGACTTGAGAGAAGTTTGACCGCAAGCAGGGCCGATAACTCTGGCAGAAACCGTGCTTCCCGACCAAGCGCTCCACGTCCTTGCGGTAGACCAGCTGCTGGCCCAGAAGTGCGAGGGTGGCCGCGAAGAGGTCCACGCGGCGGCGGCGAGTGGTACCCAGCCAGTGCTCCGTGGGGTGGACCTCGGTGCCCTGGAACTCGCCGCTGCCGCCGTCCACGGACTTGCCGTGATGCACAGGAACTCCCAAGCGGTCCCAGGCGCGCTCGGCCTTGGTCATCCAGAAGTCGGCCTGGCTCCGCGCGCGGTCGCCTGCAGAGCGCGCGTCCAGCGCCCAGAGGTCGTCAATGATGGACCCCCAGAGCGGCAGCTCGGTGGGGCAGGGCTGGTCAAACGTCACCCTGCGCTCCTGGGGTAGCCCTGCCTTCAGGAAAGCGGTGTCGGAAGCCGCCTGTGCCCAGCCCGCCGACGGCGCGAAGCCCATCGGCGTCGCGTGGTGGAACGGGAACACCTCCCCCTTCCCTCCGCGCGGGTCAGGCACAGGCGGATGGGCCATGTACTTCCGCCAGGCTTTGCCGATCGCCAGCTGGTGAAAGTAGTGGCGCAGGTCCCGCTTCCACAGCTTGACCCGCATGCCTGGCAGCGTCTTCACCACACGGAGCCGCGGCGGGTACGCGAAGGTCGGCCGAGGGAGAGCGTCAGGGTTGAGCAGCTGGTTCACTGGCAGGTCCGAGATCACCCGCTGCTCCGTATCTGACTTCTTCACGCCGAACGCCCCAGCCACGAGAGCAATCCCACGATGCTTGCGCACCCTCTTCTTGGAGCCGTACCCCTGCAGGCCCGCCGCCACGTTGCGCGCCACGAGACTGGGGTAGGTGGGCCCCACCAGCGTGTGAGGCCTCTTGAGCCTGGCGGGCCGCCGATCCACGCTCAGGAGCAGCGATCGAGGGCAGCGCACCTGATGAGCAAGCCCAGGAAAGTGCTCGTCCAGCAGCCCAGCCAGGTCGACGACGGCGGCGCGGTCTGGCACTCCGCCACGCTCGCCGAGGGGCTCCGCGACGCACCTGGACGGCTCGTAGCCGTCGGAGTGACGCAGGACCTCTTGAATTGTCGCCGCCTCTGGCCAAGCCAACTCGGCCGCGAGGAAGCGGGAGACGCCCATCAGCATGCGCCTTTGCACACGTCGCTGGGCTTGCGTCGGCAACATGGTGTAGTCGCCGTCTCCGTCGTGCAGATCGTTGAGCGCGACGATGCACATGTTCGCCCAAATCAAAATTGCGTCCCGAGGCTGCCGCCCGAACTTTGCGAGCTCGGCGTCACCACACCGCAGCAGAGGGACTGGGAAGATGCCTGGCGAGGTCTTCCCGAACTCCACGACACGCGGCCGAACGAGGTGCCCACGGCGTAGTGGCAGCCCCAGCGGCCCTCCAGCGAAGCTCAGCCAGTCGCCCAGACCGACCAAGACGGAAGCCAACGTGCACTCCTGGCCCCCGCGGCGCAGCCACCTCTGCCGCGCCCTCCGCCACCTCGTCACATGGTGAGCTTCAAGAGGCCGCCTGCAGCGACCCCGCCCCCCGTGCCAGCTAGCAGCTCCGCGGCCTCTGCCTTCTCCCAGGAGCCGCCCTTGGCCTTCGCCCGCTGGATCGCGATGATGCGCTGCGCCAGCACGTCCATCGCGGTCGCCAGGTCCTGCGCGTTGATCAAGTCCATGACGAGCGCCAACGTCTGCACCTCGCGCTGGTCCCGCAGCTCGGTCAAGCCCGAGTGCGCCTGCGCCCACGTCGTCACCGACGCGCGCCTCAGCTGCTTGGTCTCCGTCAGGCGCCCGTGGCTCAACTTGCGGTGCACCATCGCCAGGAAGTACCCCGAGAGCGCGCCCGGGTGCTTCGCCGCGAACGCCAGGAGGTCGCCCTTGGCCTTGAACTTCTCGGTCTCCAACTTGCGCTCCTGGGCGGGGTCGACCCGATGGCTCTTTGCCTTGGGCCCGCGCCACCGCAGGTAGTCGCTGCTGCTGGAGGAGCTGCTGTCGCTCGAGCTTGACGAGCCGCTGGAGTCGGACCTCTTCTTCTTCTTTTTCTTCTTCTTCTTCTTGGTGGCAGACTTCTTGTCTTTCTTCTCTCGCTTGCTGCTCTTGCCGCCTCCATCCTGCAACTGGCCCTGGATCGCGCGGACCTCCTGAAGCAGTGAAGCCAGATCGATGCCCGCTGCTGGGGCGGCTGCTGCCCCGTCGGGCGCTCCCACGGCGCCGAAACCCAGACCCGCGGCAGCCGCGGGCCCCGCCGCGCCCGCGGCGGGTAGCGCAACCGCGCCTGCGGGTGGGGGCGCCGCTGCTGCTCCCGCGGCTCCCGCTGCTGCTGGCACGACGGCACCGCCCCCTGCGGGTGGCAGAGGGCCCCCCACTGGCATGAAGGCGGGGATCGACGCCGCCTGCGAGCCCGCGTCGAAGATCGCCCCCGGCGCCAGCGCGAAAGTCTGCAGGGCCGCGTCCACGCCCTGGGCCTCCAAGCGCAGCGCGGCAAGCTCGGCCACACTCGGGTCCCACTGGACCGCGGCGTGCGGCGGCTCGCACACCCAGTTGGCCTGGGCGCCAGCAGCGCCAAACGGCGGCATGCGGAGGGCTCCCCCTCCAGGCACGACCACAGCGCGGAAATGCCCTGGCAACAGGCGCACCAGCACCCAGATGAACGTGACCCCCGTCGCGTCCGTCGTCAAGCCCAGGCTGTAGTCTGCGCCCCGCACCTGCCCGAAGACCAGGACCTCGTCCCACTCGCCGCCGCGGGAAAGCAGCACCCAGCAAGGGTCGGCCGCCCCGACGGCTACGCCACCTGCAAGCGCCATCTCCACCAAGGCGTACTCGAGAGCGGTTGAAGCGGCTGCGAGCTCGCGAGCGCGTGCGCGGTCGGCCCGACGGGCCGCCCTCCAGCCACGGAGCCCTCCGACGGCCTGCGCGCCCAGAGCCCAAGCAGCCCCAAGCGCCGCGCGGCCACGCGTCCAGGCGGCTTGGGCTCCCCGTGCCAGCCAGCCGCGATGCTCCCAAGCGAGAGCAAGCAAGGAGCTCGCGAAGGTCGCTGCCGCCTGCAGCGCGCGCCAGCCCCAGCAAGAGGCAGCGTGGGCGGCCTCGCCCAGCGCGGCGACGCCTCGCGCCCCCGCGACAGTTAGCACCCGAGCCGCCTCAGGCCCGAAGTGCCCAGCAGCCCAGCTCGCCAGATGCCAGGCCACCTGGCTCCAGAGCAGCGCCCCCGAGCCAGCGAGGAGGGCTGATCGCGCGCAGACTGCGACCTGGGAGTGGCTCGTCGTGGCGCCCGTTCCGATCGCCGCCAGGCGATCTTGAGCCAGAATGATTACGAGCGTGAATCCTGAAAGAGAGGCTGGCAGAGCATCAAAGGCAGCCAATTCCAGGAGCACGGACGTCGAGACGAGGCTGGATGAGAAACCCGGCATTCCGAAAACTATCCAGCAAGCTCTATCTATGTATGTATACTGTCGCACCCTCTGTACGACAGTGAAGGGATTCCAAAACCGATCTCAGACATATGCTCGGACGTACGAAAATGCATTTCCTGGTGAAGCACATGCTTTCAACATCGATTGAGACAATGACCCGGATGCGACGATGCTTCCGTGAGTCGCGAAGCCGGAACCTGACACATGAAAATCTACCGACGCCAGCCCTCAGAGCAAGCCGCCAGAGCTCGAACGGGCGCTCGGATTCATAAGAGCTGCGCCAAGCAAGATCTGATTTCTTACTGCAATGTCAAGTTAACGAACAACGCTCGCTCACCTGACATCGCCACAACGACTCGCGGAGAGCCCGAGCACCCAGAAACTGATCCCCAAGTCAAGATTTCAACATCAGACAGAAATTATGGCTTGTTTGGCGTCATGGTTTTCGATCAAGATCGATCAGACTATCAAGCACAATTGACATACTGGATCGATACACAATTGCCATGATGAAACATCAACTTCCAATTACGTCATTGACTCTGGACACCGCCGTGGGTACGCTAGCGTTGAAATGTCTTCGGTTGGCACCTTTCTTATGCTGGCAAGCTTCGCCGAACATCCGTCAGCACCGCCGCCAGAATTTGCTCGTTCCAGCTTCCCATAGCCTCCACCGAGAACGAAGACGAGGCCTCTGTTCGAAACTCCCTTCCCCACCTCCCACTAAAGAGAGTCCTCTGGTACTGCTGCAGCGCGGCCGCGTAGGCGGCCCCAGCTGCGGCTTGCCCCGTGGCAGCCTGCTGGCCAAACATCTGCTGGTGCAGCAGCGTGTATGGGTTAGCCTGGGGAGGGGAATCCCGATAGCCGCCAATGCAATTGTGCTCGGCTTAATTCGCGGCCCCATAACTCCCGACCCCTTCCCTGGGAACAGAGTCCCGGATCGGTCCCTGGAGCCCGAAACAAGCCTGGGGATGGAGGGGGGGATTGGGCAAGTACTGTCACAGCGCCGTCGGGGAACGGCTGGAGTAACTTTCAGACGGCGCTGGCGCTGGTGGTGATGCTACCAGCCGGCTCCTCCCCAGTACCGCATAGTATCGACTGTGCGAAGAACCTGGCCGGGGCTTTCTTCTTCCTGAGAGGTCGGAGGCTCAGCAGGAGGAGGTTTGTCGAAACCCTCGGCCGATGAGGTCAACAAGCTGCAAGGGCCTAGCATCGCCAGAGAACAACAAAAGTATGCTCGAGGAAGCCCGCGGCGGTGACCCCGTCGTCCTCGTCGTCGTCGTCGTCGTCGTCGTCGTCGTCGTCGTCGTCGTCGTCGTCGTCGTCTCCTCCTCCTCCTCCTCCTCCTACTCCTCCTCCTCCTCGAAGAGGAATCAAGGGTCGAGAATCTATCGGCTACACACCAGGGTGCGCTAGGCAGGAGTGACCTATTGCTGTGCGGCCTGCCCCTCGTCGCATGCCATCCGCGATGCTGGCGGCCCGCGTGCTCGGGTCTGGCCCGGCGCGCCCCCTGGAAGCCGCGCACGGAAGCTCACTCCGTAGAATGGCCACTCTTGTCGGACCTCGGACAGAGCAACGTCCTTCAAGAACACGAGGCCCTCCGCCGGTCAAAACAAGCAGAGCATTCGAGGGCACCCTCGCCCAGGATGCGCAAGAGCATCTAACAAACACGAAGAACTCCAGTGTACGCACCCTCTCCGAACCAAACTCGATCTTAAACCTCGGTCCGACTGGGCTTGCATCTGGATCCAGGGCGGCCGAAGAAGCAGAGCAGCGAACAGCAAACGATATGCCGAGACTGGCCCACGAGGACCTCATCCTGCCGTGGCGTCGAGGAACTCCCTGGAGGCCCACAGAGCGCCGAACACGTCCAGGACTGTGATCTTCGATCTTCGCCCCTCGATCCCCGACCCCTCGGCGGTGAATGCGGGGGGGGGGGGGGGGGGGGGAGGATGAGGAGGAGAGAGGGAGGAGGAGGAGGAGGAGGAGGAGGAGGAGGAGGAGGAGAGGAGGAGGAGGAGGAGGAGGAGGAGGAGGAGGGAGGAGGAGGAGGAGGAGGAGGAGGAGGAGGAGGAGGAGGAGGAAGAGGCACCACAGGCAGCTGCGTCCGCGCCTCGATCGAGGACACGCGTGAATACCGGGGCAATGCCACCTTCATCTGAGGGCTGGTCTCGGCGAAGTGCTGTGACGACAGGAACCGCCAGCATGAGCGAGAGCTGGGCCGCTCTGATCTTCATGAAGCTGTTGCCCTGTTCCGACGGCGTCAAGACGGGCCTCAACGTAACCTCAGAATGCTACAATTCCACGGTCTTCAAGGGCCTCTCATCTTGTACATCGTCAAGGAGCTCATCATTCTTGGGGGGAGGTTTGTTGGGTGATATGTTTCTCTACTTAGTTATTTTAGTTCTTTTGGGAATACTTGCTATGTGTCTGGGGCTTGTGCGCATGTGGCAAGTTTGGTGCAGCAGTCATCGGCGTAAGCCTGCTCCACAATACGATCCATCATCATGTGAAGTGTTTCTGCTTGGCTCGAGGCGGACTGTGTCAAGCGCTCGGCGTGCAGGACCTGTGCGATGCCTTGGCCCTCGAGGCGAGGTGATCACGGAGACGGTCGGGGGCTTCGAGGGCGAGGCATTCCTCGACGATTCATTCCTCTTGTGCTTCCTGGCGCTGGCCTTCTGTGGCGCGGGAGACGGTTCCGCCGTCTTCTCCGGCGCTCGCTGCGCCAGGGATGCCACCATCTGGCTCATGCTACCTCGCGCTTTCGCTTGGGGCAGGAACAATACCTCCGGCTGAGTGGGTTTGGGCCCGCACGTCCAGAACGTTACGGCCACCGCGACCACGCAGCAGGCAATGATGCAGATCATGCTGTTTTGTATCCTGCAGGTCGTCCCGTCTTTCGACGCGTGCAGCATGCGGCGCGTCACTGCGGTCACCTGGGCGATATGCCCCTGTTGATGTGCTCCTTCATCTGGGCGATGTGGACCTTCATCCGGGTCGACTTCTCCTTCACATGGGTGCTGTTCTTCCTCATCCTTGTCGTGTCCCTTTGAAGCATCCTCGGCTCTCTGTGGATAGATGCTTTCGCGTGGCATCTTCATCTGAGACGTCTCTTACTGCGCTTTGGGGCTGTAGCTCCTTATCTAGGTCGAATCTGTTGGCGGCATTTTCGACATGTACCGCGCAGCGATCCCCGCGTCGAGGCACGCCCTGCCGGTCAGCAAGGCCAGCCCCCCGGGCAGCCTGGCCCGCTGGGCTCCCAGCTCCGCGGCGGAGGTCGGCGTGACGACGCTCTCTTGGCGGGCCTGCAAGAGCTTCTGTCGATGTTCTAGGACCCTGCGGCCGGGCCCCCGGCTTCCAAGGTGGGGGCGCCGCAGCCCTCGGACCCCCGGGCCTCGAAAATCAAACGCCGGCGAGCTCAGCGACAGGTAAAGGATGCCGAGGGGCTGGTCGGAGCCCTGAGGCGCGTCGTGGAGCGGGCCAAAAAAAGGACACAGCCGACGCCCTGGTGGGCAAGCTCCATCGCCTCATCACCGCAGCCTCGGAGGGCAAGCTCGCCAAGAAGCCCGCCCAGGCTACTTCTGCACCTGCGACGAAGTCGGCTGCCAAACCGAAGGCCGCGTCTAAGCCGAAGTCGGCTGCCAAGCCGCCGAAAGCACAGCAACCAGCAGAGCATCTGTTGGCTGCGCCTTCCTCGGCGCCTCCGCCGACGCGGACGGCGCCGCCGAGTTTTCACCAACGACGCTGCGTCTTGAGCACTGGCGCGGGAAGCTCGCTGAGGACGGGGTCAACTCGCTCTTCGGGATCCAGGCCAACGAACACTTGGTTTACGGCATCGTCCACAAACCACCTGATGGCCTGGCCAACCACACGCTCCCGCAGGACGCTACTATTTCAGTGCTTCTGGATCGTCCTGCTGATTGTGCCGTGCCCCTTCGAGCACCTGCGCTCGATGCCAGGGACATGCCCAACGTTGTTCCTCTTTATCTTCTGCAGCTGGGCAAAGACGTGGACGTCCTCGAGTGGAAGGCTCAAACGGGTCAACCACTACCAGCGGCAAAGCCGACACGCGCGGTGCGCCTCGCCTGCTTCAGGTCTCTGCTCCCTGACAAGGAATGGGAAGAACGCTCCAAGAACATCAGAGCTGCGGCGAAGCTCTGGCTTCCCTGCGGGTGCCGACCGACGAGATCGCGGACGTCTTCGGCCCGCGGAAGTCCGAGGACGGCAACGTCATCTCTGTGAACATCCGCGTGGGCGCCGCGCACGCGGCAGCCATCGACGCAGTCAGTGGAGTCGCTGGCGTGCTTGCGCGGCTTCTCCCGGAGGACCCCGCTGCCGCGCCTACCTTCGGCGACGCGCAGTGGATCAAGCGGCAGGATGGCGAGTCAGGCGTGGCCTTCCTCAACCGCGCCCGCGCCGAAGCCGAGAAGGAGTCGCCGCGCCGCGGCCTGGCCTTCTCCAGCGCGGGCTCGGCGGGCCTGCGCAGAACAGGTAGCCGGGCGGCCGCCTCTTGGAAGGTCTCTGGAATGCCGAAGGTTTTGTCAATTCCTCAATTCGCTGCGTGGCTGAAGAGCTGCGGATGGTCAAATATTGAATTGTCTCCAGTGCGGCGTCGGGTTGCTAAACGGACAGCCGCGTTCATCCTCCGCGGCGTCGGCCCCGGAGGCGCGAACATAGCGACGACGGTCGAGACGACTGCTGGTGGCGAATCGGTGTTCGTGGACTCAGAGCCGTTTCGCCCTGCCCAAAAAGGCGCCTGCTGTCCGCAACCTTCGAGACAGCGATCTACGCTGGGACGCTGCCAAGCCGGCCTGCGGCGGACGCATCTGCGAAGGTCAACCAGCCCGACCTGGCCCCGAAGCGAAGCGGCAGCGTGGCCCTGATGGGACTGTCGCGCCGGCGGCAGGCGGGGACCCCCCCAAGCAGGAGGTCTTCACCGCACTCGGCCTCGCGGTCAAGAGCGCGCCCACGGATGGCGCGCGCGCTTTCCACGCCCTCGTCTAGTGGTTCAAGCTCGCAGCCAAGGGCGCGCACTGCCCGGCCGCCCTGCGGGCGCAGACCATCGCCCACCTCGCCAAGAAGGGCTTGCAGTTCGAGCCCTTCTGGGACCGCGTGACCCCACCAGGGGCCCCTTGTTCATCTTGGACCGAGTATTTTAAGCTCGTGCGTGGCAAGAAAGCCTGGGCTGGCGAATTGGAGCTGCTGGCGGCCGCGGACAAGTGGAACCTCCAGACTGTCGTCGTGGGGCCCAACAAGTCCACTGTCATCACTGGCAAGGGTAAATCTACTGTGTGGCTCTACCGACCCCACCCATTCAGCCGCTCGTCGTCAGCATCTCCATGACGTGGTCGACTACTACAAGTTGGGCCTCAACCAGATTGCCAGCTCGAGGGCTGGACATTGAAAGGCGGTGGCCATTCATGTGCTTCTACGCTGCGCTATTCTCCCCCGGCGAGTACATTGCGAGCCAGTCCTTCTTCGTCGGCCAGGGCGCTGGGATGGACTCGGCAGGCGCCGGGTCTGACCATGCAGGGGCGCATCGTTCCACAGGTGCTCCTTCGGCCAGGACGCTGGCGGCTTCCAGGCGCTCGTCTCCAGCCCAGACCTTGGCGGCGGCCAGCGCAGCTTCTGGTGCTGGGCGGGCTTCGTCGCCGAGTCGCACCTTGCGCAGCCCTTCGACAGCTGGCATGCCGTCTTCTTCGTCTGCTGGGCCGCGTTTTACCTCGCTCCCCTGTTCTGGGTCTGACGGACATGTTGGGCGACGTGGAGGGGGGCGACGGCGGCGGGGGCGAGGGGGAGACCAATCCGTTCTACCCGCAGGTGCTGTGCCGTCTATGTCACCGAGTCGCACCTTGCGAGCTCCGTCTTCGACGACATCCTTCGGGGCGCTGCGGCCAGGGCGCGGGGCCTCGGCCAGGCCGCCCTCATTGTCCAAGCAAGACGCCATTGCCTTCGCCCAGCAGTGCGTCCGCCGCAACGCTGCCGCAGCCGACCCCCCGCCGCCTCGGCGGAAGCCTGCCGCTGCCGCAGCCGCGCCCCCGCAGCCGGCCCTGCCGGGCGAGGCGCCCCGCATTCCGGGAGGCCCAGCAGATAGAGGCGACCGGGCCCTGAAAGAAGCGCGCCGCGGAACCCCTAGTGGAGCGCGAATGGCCCCCCGCTGCAGTGCAGAGCGCCGCCCGGTTCCGAGCCGCCGCCGCTGCAATTCCGTGGTTGGGTTCTCCAGAACGCCCCCGCGGTATCTGGTGCGCACGCTGCTCGAGGACTGCCTCGAGACCGACTTCGACGGCTGCGCCTGCCAGGTTCTGCCAAAATGCTGCGTGCCTGAGTTGTGCAAGCCCTCCCTCGGCAGAGGGGCGCGGCGCGGCCCTGGCCAACATGCTGCTGTATAGGCCGCGCGCCCGCCGCGCGGCTGCCCTCGCCACTGCTGCAGCACGGGGTTCAGACCGTGCAGACATTTGGAAACGCCTGGGCTAACTGGGGGCGTCCTTTATGTGATTTTCGTATTCCAGCTGAGTTTGCAGGTGGAGAATACCGACGTCGGGCCCATCTATTGAGTCGCGGCCAGCCTGGGCGCGACATCTTAGCAGCCGAGCGGCCCTCTGGGACCGGAACTCATGGGAACAAGTTCCGACGCCTCCACGCTGCTGATTTCGTGGCCCGCCGCGCGGCCACGAGACGCAAGGACTGCGTCGGGCGCGTTCGCACCGCCGCCGAGGCGCTGCCGGCCTGGGCGTGCAAGCCGGTCGTCGCGGACGAGGGCCTGGGGTGCTCTGTATGCGAGTGCACCGCCAACTCGCTCTCCTCCTTCCTCCCCGCTGCTGGGGGTCACTGTCTCATATGTTGTAAAGCGTCGGAGGCGGCGTTGGCTGAAACCGCGCCTCTGACTCAGGATGCCCGGGCCGCTCGAGTACGGGATGCCCTGACCTCGGCTACGACCCAGATGCGCGAGCACAGCCGATAGCGAGTCCGCGAACGTCGCGCTCTGCTGGCCAGCGTGCGGCGTGGGCGACTCCAATGCTGAGGTCAAGAACGACCTCGAGCTTCTCGCATTCAACGTGGGAAGCTTTTTTTTCTACGCGGCGCGTCGGGCTCTTGCGGCTTCTGGCGCAGCATCTTCCCCGCCTTTGCTTTCTTCAAGAATGCGCCCTTCCCAGTGGGCAGCGGCGCATATTACGAGCTGATCTGCGTACTTTGGGGTATCAGGTTCATATTGGTTGCCATGGTATGTGTGGCTTTATTCGAGACGGCCTGAATGTGGCGCCCATCGCGGCCACTCACAATGGCGCTGACTTCCGCGTGCAAAAACTGGCCTTGCAGCTGGGCGAGAGACGCGTGCTGGCGCGGCGCCGGCGCGCCCACTCGGGCTCCGCTTCGGAGCGCAGCAGGTTCAACGCCAACCTCCTCGCCGAGCCTGCCCGTCTCACCATCGACGTGGGCGACTTCAACGAACGCCCGGTCCACTGCGACGGGGAGGGGCGGGCGGCGATTTGCCCCGAGGAGCCGACGTTCCGCCGCCACCCACATGAAGGGGAGTGGCTGACCACCATCGACGGAGCGGTATTCGCTACCGCGCTTGCGGCTACAGCCGCAGCTACAGCTTGGGATCCTGTCGAGCATTCGCAACGTCGCCCTGTGTTGGTGGAAGCGGCTTTACCTCCTGAGTTCCGCGAGGGCTTCCGGTGGGCCGTCGAGCCTATGCGCATGGGCGCTTGGGGTACTACTGCCAAGGGCGAGTTTGCAGACGCGCTCCCGTCCGACATCGATCAGGCGTGGGCTATCTGGGCCGACGCGGCCGGTGCTCTGGAGGCCCGACGGAGAGGGGTGGCGTGCCGGGGCGCGAGCTCGAGAGCTCCACGGTCTATGGCGGCGCCAACTGCACGACGGGCGGCCCGACGAGGCCGAAAACGCGTTTGGCATGATCACGTCCATCGTCGATGACGCGAACAGCGTGCGACTCAGAGATTGGCGACAGCGGATGGGTGCGCGGGGTGGCGCGGCCAAGTGGATGAAGCGCAGGCTCGACGCGCTCTGCGAAACTATCCTGCCCGCCGTCGGCGCCGAGGTCATGTCCCCGCGAAAGCTGGCCCAGAAACTCAGTTGGAGGCTCGCCAGGCAGTGGGGCGCCAGCGTCTTCCAGATTGCGCACCTACCAAGACTTCGAGTGGATTTTCACCGTGTTCGCCATGGCCCTGGTCTTCCCCGTGGACGCCAGGCCCGTCCTGCGCGCCTTGGGCG